TTCCCAAACACTAATCTATAGGGAGACATTCCAATATGAGTATTAGATGTAGTCATGTAAGCCCATAAAGCATTGCCTAGTCTAATCTAACAGACCAATCCTTCATATTTGGGTTTATAATTTTTTCTAAAAATTTTTTATCTCCCTATTGCTAATTTTAACTTCACCACTAGCCTTAGGATGATAAGATATTGCTTTTCTATGCTGAATACCTAATTTGATAATTAGTTTTCTTACTCTTTTATTACAAAAATGATTACCCTTATCACTAATGATTACCCAAAGTGTTCCAAATCTAGAATAATATTTCTCTTTAAAAACTTTATAATAACTTGGGCATCACTCGTGGGGCAAGCCAAATCTTCTATCCACTTAGATACATAATCAACGTTTATCAAAATATACTAAAAACTAAATGACTGAATAACCCACAAACATCAAATAACTCAACTTCTAACGTAAAATTCATCAGCATTTCACTGCGTTTTGTAATGTTACCACCCTCTAATGTCTATCACATTTGTTGACATATTCATTAACATCTTTAAATAAGGTAGGCTAATATAATCTAGATTGTAGAACCTTGGATGCAATTTTATATCCTCCCAAATATTCGTCATAATCAGAATCATGACATAGACAAATAATACTTTGTGTTTCTTCTAAAGGGACATACCTTCTAATTATTTTTTCACTACATCTCCTAAAAAGATATGAGTCATCCCAAAAGTAATACTTAGCATCATGCAACAATTTGTGCCTTTGGTGCTGCGACATATCCAATGATATAATATCACTAACAATGTAGTTCACAATGTCTACATACTAAGGCACAATAATGTCATGCAATGCAAATAGCTTCTCATCGAGGAAGAATTCATTAATCACAACAAATTATGCACAAAATCCTCCCTCTCTAATCTAGACAAAAGATCGGCCACCTTATTCTCATATCCTTTCATATCTCTACATCAAACTCATATAGTAGTAAAATCCATCAAATTAATCTTGATTTAGCATTTTTTTTAGTTAACATGTATTTAATAACATAGTGATTAATAAAAACAATAACTTTAGTACTTATTAAATATGATATAAATTTATCAAATGCAAAGATCATAACTATTAGTTCTTTCTCAATTATGGTGTAATTAATTTGTGCATTATTTAATGTTTTACTAGTGTAGTATATAACATGAAATTTTTTTGTTTAGTCTCTGCCCTAAAATTACTCCAATGACATAGTTACTAGTATCACACATCAATTCAAAGTTAAAACACCATTGAGGTGAAATGATGATAGGTGCAACAACTAAGCATTTCTTAAGTTGTTCAAATATAGCTAAATAGTTTGAATTGAATTCAAATGGTAGTTCCTTCTCAAGTAAATGATATAGGGACTTTATAATTTTAGAAAAGTCTTTAATAAATCTTCTCTAAAATCTGGCATAATCTAGAAAACTTTGGACTCCCTTTATAAAAGCAGGTGGAAAATTTTCAATCACCTGAATCTTCTCCTTATTGACCTCCATACCCCTCTCCGATATTTTATGTTCAAGGATGATGCCTTCCATAACCATGAACTAACACTTTTTCCAATTGAGAACAAGATTAGTTTCCCACATCTTTTCAAAATAAGTTCCAAATGAGTTTCAAAAATATCAAATGTAATTCCAAAAATAGAAAAAATCATCCATAAAGATCTTGAATCACTATATTAAATTCGAGAAAATAGACAACATGCATTGTTAGAATGTTGCATGGGGATTGCATAATCCGAGGAGCATTCTTCTAAACGAGAAGGTTCCGTAGGGACTTGTAAAGATCATCTTATCATGGTTGTCTTATCTGGTGATAAGAATTGATGATAATTAGAATAGCCATCTGGAAATAATAATAAGGATGCTAGTCTAATCTGCCAAGCATTCAATCTATAAATGGCAATTGAAAAATAGACTTTCCTAGTAGCCTTGTTAAGTTTCCTATAATCGATACAAATCCTCCACACAATCATAGTTCTAGTCAGTATGAGTTCATTTTTTTCGTTCTTGAATATAATTAACCCTTCCTTCTTAAGCATAGTGAATTGGGCTAACCCAATCATTGTCAGAAACGACATAAATGATTCCTACAACTTAACAATCTCTTTGTTCATTAATTCAATTATAGTAGGGTTTAACCTCCTTTATGGGCCAGCTGTGGGTTGACAATCTTTATCTAATAGAATATTATGCAAGCATACATATGGGGCAATCCCTTAATGTCCGCTATAGTTCGTCCAAAGGCTTTCTAAGAACCCCCGTAAACTTTTTCTCTTGAAATTCATCTAGATCACCAGATATGATCACTGGTAAAGTTGATGAATCACCCACAAATATTTACTTAAGGTGGTTAGACAATGCTTTAAGCTCTAAGGTGGATGCCTCTAAAATAGATAGCTTCAAAGATCTACCTAACGTCGAAGTATCTAAGGACTCATAGCTATTAGGGAAATGTCTAACTTCTAGAAAGATGGTAATATCACTTCTAAGCTCATCTACGCCATCCTTAATCAACAATTGATCCAATATATCAAAATCCAAAACGTTCTCTAAAGCATCCTTTACACAACCACATCGACTCAATAACAATTGTTCTCACTATCATTGTTTGGGAATTTCATTGACTTCCAAACATTAAAAGTCACTTCTTCATCATGGATTTTCATGGTTAATTCTCCATTCTAAATATCGATCAAAGCCCTACCAACGGATAAAAAAAAGTCTACCTAAAATAATAGGTATTTTTCTATCTTCCTCAATGTCTAACAAAATAAAGCATACTAGGAATATTAACTTGTCCACCTTAATTAAGATATCCTCTATTACCTCCTTTGGGTAAGTGAATGAAATATCAATTGGCTAAATGGAAACAGTCATTGGTTGTACTTCACCTAAGTCTAATCTCTTGAAGATAGACAAAGGCATGAGATTAATGCTCGCTCTTAAATCACACGGTGACATTCCACATAACTTCTTTCCTATAGCACAAGGAATGGTGAAGTTACCGTAGTCCTTCAGCTTTTTAGGACGTTTACCTTATAAGATTGTAATTCATTCTTCAGTAAGAGCAATAGTCACTGTTGAATTAGCCTCTCAATTTCTTGATTGATCATATTTTTTTCATTAATTTTTTTTAGAAATACTTCTTTGAGCATTCTTTTGCTTGTTGGATGATTGCCCAAACTATTTTCTGTGTGTATTGATAGCTTCATTAACAACAACTTATGTTTTACTCAACAAATAAGATTAGTATAAGAACGAATTATCTCTCGGATCAATGAGGCGCAAAAAGGTCTAGGTTGAAGATCTCTAATAATGATGGTCTGCAATAGCTTAAGATCTGCTCTTAAAATTTGATCAACTATAGAGAAAAATATTTGAAAGTACTCTTTTTAAGATTCTCCTTCATTTTAACAGATCCCTGAAAGATAAAAGAAATAATTAATGACTTTTTAATTGATAATAAATTGATAGACAACAAGTCGAACAATGTATGCGAAGTTGTAGGTATTATTATCAAAGAGTGAGTAGAACTAAACATGAACTTGACCTTCTAAAATACCAAAAAAATAATTGAAAAAGTATATTTAAAACTTATTAGATATGTATGTTCCTAAGGATTATATAACGATGTCATATGAATCAATAGTGGGTAGCTGAACACTATTATAATAGGATGATAGAGAATTTCATCTACTAAAGGTGAAGATTTTCAAAAATTACATTGAGGAGCTAATTCCCATCACACATAGGAAATTCCTCTTAAAGAAGACACCATAATCTAGTATCCATGAGTCAGGTAAGATTCCCCATTGATTGAGCAATGCAAGAAGGATGAGTTAAACTAGCTGTGTTTGCAAGTTGTGGGTTAGGATGTGGTGAAGGAGGAACTTGGGTATGATGATGAGCATAGCTTTCAAGAGTATTTTATGATTGTTCATACCTATTCAGATTTTGATTTTGTGACTAATGAGTTGGAAAGTATTTTCTAATAATTAAAGAATGCTAATAATTCCTCCCCCATCTTGTGTATCTAATGGCCCAAGGAGAAATCAAATATTACATTTAAATTTATGCTGATTAAATGAATTTTCTAGGAATGTATTAATATTTATTAAAAACTCTCAAATTGATTGAAATTATCTTCCCCTTGCATTTATAAATTATTTTTAAAGTTGATGCAACTAGTATGTAACATTTATATTTTTATCCCTTACATGTGCTTTATAGTGAGTCCAATACTATAAATTCTATGTTAGTTATGTACATATTTTCTCTAAAGCAAGTCTAAGGCTCTAATACATGCTCCTCAATTTATATGATATACTCACTTTTGTGCAAACATTTTGAGTTAGGTATTTCCATCATTTGTGGTTTATAGTCCTAAAATGATTCATAGGATTAGATAAATTATGTAGAGCTCAATGCAAGTGATCAAATAAATAAATGCAACACAGTGCAAAGCACAGTATAAGTGACAAATTGAATAAATAGGAGAACTAGCCTTAAGTCACCTATAGATAAGTGTGTAAAGTTATGAAATTAAGTTCAAACATATAGGCTTTTTTTTTTTTTTACTAGAAAGCTACTTTAAGAAACAATAAGAAAACCGTCCGGCTTTTTTATTAAAATTTTTGTACTAGAAAGCTGCTTTAAGAAACAGTAAAAAAATCGTCCCAAACGAAGCCTTAGTTATGGTGACATGACTGACATCAAAGGAGACTGATTGTTTATCAGTGCCCAAATATGGATGATCACCAAGGGAAAGCAGTCAAGTCAAGCAAAACTTCATTTTGAAAGAATTAATCCACGCATTGAGAGCATACAGTTCATTTCAAGGATGTGTTGAACTAAAAAGCTGATAAAAAGAGTTCTAACAAGAGCAAATGCTCAAGTCTACCACACTTCTCTCAAAATTGTAGCAAATAAATCTTCCAAATAAATAGGCTAAGAGGCAAGTTTATAAGTTTAGGAATATCCAGATTTTTTATGATTCTTATTGAGATTGAATTGAAGTAATCTACAGTCCCCCATTGCCATCAAATTTATGTTATGTCGATCAAACTAACCTGCTTGAACTTAAGCAAAGCTGTGAAGCTGCCACTGACAATGGTGCTTTGGGCTTGCAAGGTCTTCAACATTATTGTTCCCTATTCGCACATAATGTTTGGTAAAATGTCATTTCAATCACATATTTGATTCCTCTCTAAGTATCATGATAATTACAGAATGTAAATTTAGTAATTTACAATATCACAGCCATCCTACTCACTTTGAATGGCTCAGAATGATTCTACTTCCTTTTGTTCAAATCACTCAAACATTTGAAAAGAAAATTTCAGAAATCTAAATGAATTGCATGGCTGAAATTGTGTACTTTCATGCTTAAATTATAATGATGATTAGAGAGGACCTGAATGCTCAGAGACACAAATTTGAAACAATCTTTGAAGGAAAAAGCATACGTTGAGGTATATCTAGAGAAAGAAATTGAAGAACGAAGTAGAAATCCAGCAGGAATCATCTATCAGCATTGGCGGACACCCTTTGCATTATCATAGCCTCAGCTGTGCGAATTGCTTCAGGTGTTCCAGTGATTGTTACTTTTCTGACATGGATTGGAATTTGAGAAGATGAATGTACATTTATATACAAAACTACTTATAAGAAAAATTAGCATCAGACGAATTTTTTATACCTATCAGAAGTACCAGACATAAAATCTCCTCGATCTGAAATCTTAACCTTGGCGCCACTAATCTGCACAAAGCAAGGCAGTTCTGTTATTCTTGTTTAATATTTCTGTAGTAACTGAAGCTTTATAGTCTTTTTACCGGCTGAACGTAAGATGACAGCAGATAATAGTTCCAAATTTATAAAAATCTTAAACAAGCAGAAACGAACGAGCTTATGTTTGCAATCCTAGTAAATATGACAAATGAAAACATCAGTTTTCACATTAAAATTAACACTGATATCTATCTTATAATTGGAAAATAAAATTTCTTCACGTTTATTTAGGGTAAAGCAATTTTTTATTTTTTTTTCATAAACGGAAACAATGCAAGGGCTTGGTAAAGGGAATTTCTGGTGATAAATCCTACAGTGACGAATATCGAACCTGCAATGTACAGTACAGTAATGCTGTTAAAGAACTATATTGAATGCTATCAGACATACTGAGCTCCACAAATTCTTGTATGTTTAAGAAAAAGATGGGCTAATTCCATAAAAGACGGAATAAGCAAATCTAAAAGTACTAATATTGAATCTTTGTGAGATCATCCATTTTGTACCAAATGGAGATTTAGAGTAAATCGAATCAGTATAGCTATCATCAGTATTGTAAGGAAATGCTATATCTTTCTTGTCTATTCATAATTGTATTTTCTTTGGAATATGAGATTAAATAAGTTTATGTTAGTGGCTTCATCATTAGTAGTAATAGAAAAAAAAGATATCAATGCTATACTTTTTTTACGTAATGGTTCTCATTTTTCTTTGGAACATAAATTTTGTAAAGCATTTCACATGAGAAGGGTTGTAGGGAATGTTAACCGCTGTGGTCCGTTACTTGTAAAAAAAAAGAAAAAAAAAAACTCGTTACTCTGCACATTCCCACAGTAAACCAAAAAAAAAAAGATTGCAAAGTTTAAAAAATGCTTTATCACTCTTCATAACAAAAGTTACTAAACAATAAATTTTAAGCCTTTATATCATCAAATGAAAAGTTTAAATTATTATGTTGTTGACCTCATTTTTGTATGAGGTCATCAGGACCTATCCAAATTCCAACATGTTGATCTGATGGTCAACAACCATCCAGTTGTCAATCACCTAGAACTCAATTCAATCCTCAATCCAGACTTCAACTTAATCTCCAACTTAGACTTCAATCCAGATTTTAATCCAAACATCAATCTAGACTTCAATCCAAATTTCAATCAAGTTTCAATCCAGACTTAAATCGTCTTCAATCAAACCTCAATCCAGTTTTCAATCAAACTTTAATCCAGCCATAAATCAATCTTCAATCAAGCTTCAATCATATCCAATCATCACCAATCATTCAATTGATTATCATTGATGTGGATAATTCAAATTAAATCAATCAAATCCAGAACCCAACTCAAATCCAAAATCAAAATTTCTCTTGAAAAATCAAAATTTAAAGCCCAACACATAGGATAGAATGAGGTATGTTTGAAGTGTTTCAGAATCTCAAAATGTCTCCTACTTCTCTTCCCTTAACTTCTAGAAATAAGTGTTCAAATTCGATCTAATCCCTCTAGAGATTCAAACCTCACTCCTTTAATATCAATCCTTAAGAATTCTAAATAAAATTTATATCGTTATTTTAATAGAGAGTATTCATAAGAAACCTAAATTGTCTATGATGTAATTAACTACGAGGTCTTGTGCTCGTAAGAGATTTAAAGACCCCAGATCAATTTTCAAAACTTAATTAATTTTCTTTGGGAAAACTAAAAATCAATGACAATCGCTATCGTCGTATTCGAATAATTGATAAGGATATATCATTCATTGTCATTACCTTGAATATGAAATTAACGATAACATATACAGATTATCGTAGCTAAATATTTGATCAAACATCATTTTGACCTTTCAGGGTCAGATGTAATTCTTTCTTGAATTTGACTAAGATATTCATGATGAGATTTGTCATTCTAAATATGAACCCCATTAAGAAATATTATTTTCACCTCTCGATGTGGTATATCATTTCTGATGATATGTTTGACTTCAGAATTAAAATTTAAATGTTAATTTCAATTTTCCCAAAGAAATTTAATTTTGATTTGCTTTGCCTCTTTCTAAAGCAAGGCTTTTCTTTTCAAACCATAAAAAAATGGTGACTCCACTTGCGATTAATCTCTCTCTATTTTTAATAAATGTAGAAATTTTATTGCATCTGTAGTTTTGACTATCTTCCTTTTGTTGGTCCCTCTACTCATTTCTTCCTTAAGTGAGTGTGGCCAACATCAAAAGAATTAATCAACAAGAGAGGTGAGTGAGGAGATCTCTATCAAATTCAGGCTTTGGCATTTCACCTCAAGTCAATGAAAGAGTCAAGCCAAATTTTTAGGGTCTTCATATCAATTTTGTAAACCTGCATATTTGAGTGAAACTCAATATGTTGTGATTCAGAATTTGAAGAAGACCCGTTAACTTCAATTTCAAATTCAAAACTCTCTAGTCAAATCTAAACTTTGACATTTCACCCCCAAGTCAATTGGTAGAATGAAAGAGTCAAGCCAAATTCTTAGGATTTTTGTATCAATTTTCTAAACTTGCATAACTGAGTGAAACTCAATATGCTGAGTTTTAGAATTTGCAGAACGCCAGTCAATTTTAATTTCAAAATTCAAACCCTCTAACAAAATCTAGGCTTTGACATTTTAGCCCAAGTCAATTGGTGGAATGAAAGAGTAAAGCCCAATCATTGGGATTTTTTATGTCGATTTTATAGACCTACATGATTGAGTGAAACTCAAAATGCTGAGTTTCAAAATTTGAAGAAGATCCGTTCGATTTCATCCTCAAGTTCTTTAACATTTCACCCCAAATCAGTTGGTGGAATGAAAGAGTCAAGCCCAACTCTTAAGATTTCCTTGTCAATTTTGTGAACCCTCATGTTGAGTGAAGACTTATCATGTTGAGTTCTGAAATTTAAAGAAAATCATATAAAAGCACAGTTCTTCCCACTTTTATTTTTTTTGTCTTGGGAAAACACATATATAAGTTTTGATACTAGTATGTACTCTTTTATTATCTTTAATTAAAGCAATATGCAACTTTCAAGAATTCAGTACTTATCCCTTCAATTAATTGTTCTTCAATAGGCATCTCAGCAACTTCAATTGCAACTATTTCAACAATAGGCAAGCCACTTCAGCTTCACTTATTGTAGCAAGTGGCTACATGAGTTCTATTTTCTCAACCTCTATAGGTGGCCAAGCAACATTGGTCTCTAACAGATTGAACACTTCACCAACTTTTATTCTCTGGCTTGGAAGCTCTTAGCGAGTATGCATAATAGTAATAAGCGTCTCATTTAAGAGTTGCTCATAGAGAAAAGAACTGCATTAAAAATGCACAAAGTCAAATTAAATTTGCAACATTTATTAACATAAATTTTTACTAAAAAATTAAAATCTTGAGTTTTCTTTCTTGTTCAACTTTAGCTTGGGGAAGATCAGACACTGGCAAGTTAGCATCTCTTCTCATAGCAATAGGAGAAGAAAAGTTGTGTTAGGCCAGAGGCTTCGACGAAGAAGCGAACCCATGAATCTCGTCTTTAACATTTGTCTCTTCAATTTTAACTCTTTTTCTTCTTTTTTACAAAACAAGTTTCTACTTTCTTACACTTGTTGAATAGGAAATAGTATATTCTTCAAAGATATTAATCTTATCCTTTGGAACAACCATTCTTGACAAAGATAAAATTTTGTTGAACTCAAACTAAAGGAAGAAGGAATCCAGGAACCAAGCATTCTCTCTTTTAAAGGCTAAGTATTTCTTACATGGACAAAAGGTCGATGCCAAAAGTCAACATCAAATTGATTGATTGACATCCAACATTAAATTATGCATTTATTTAGAGTTAATGGTTAATTAATAAGGAATATTCTTTATATTCTTTTATTCTTTCTCCAAAAAAACTTCCAAAAATATAAGAGAATCAAGGAACTAAATGTACATCCAAATACTAAAAAAACCCATTTCAGGCTAAGGCAATCTAGTTCAAGATAAATCAAGCCGACTCAAATCAAGTAGATTTGATGTAATATATTTCATACACGCTGACTTATCAGAACTGGTCTTAGGTAGATGAATATGATTAAGGAACTCATCTAATCGTGAATAAAGCCTAACAATCAATCCTATGACTGCTATCTATAAAGTCGGCCCTAGTGACTACTCAATGAGGGATAATGTCTCATGACAAACTATTGACCGACTATTCGGTAATCCCATTTACTCAAGTTTACGATTTGTTTAATTAAAGCTCACCAGATGACTTTATATAATTGGATCTTCTGATTGTGCTACATAATTATTATATTTTCTCTTATTTTTGTATAGTCATGTATTCAGCCAATTATAATACACCCAATCCCCAACCCCAATTTATAACACAATTTTACCTAATTTATCTCTAAAACTCAATTTGCTATTCTCAATCCTATTTACTAAAATCGCATAGCTTCTTATTCTATAATTTTTTTCTCTATACTTTCTTTTCTATCTTTTACTCAATATTCTCAGTATAGCTAGGTGTAATTCACGAGCAGTACTGAATTCAATAAATTACAATAAGGATTTTGCCAACCTGAGTAATTTCCAAAATATTCCTACCCCCACGACCAACCACAGCTCCAATATGCTCATCTGGTACACCCAAAGTTGTTGAATTGCCTTGAACATCATTGGTCTCTGGAAGCGAACTTGCAGATATTATACCCTGTTGAAATGCGGCAATCAGGTACGTAACATAATCAGGTAATTAATAAGAAATGCAATTAGAATCTGCATCAAAATGTTCCAAACTTAGAAAATAAAATAGTACAAAAATAAAATTTTTCTAATAAGAATAATGTCTTGAGTGATTTGGATTTTTTCTCTTCTGTTTATATGAAGATGACCAAAAGTAGCTAAAGAAAATTAATTTGACAAAATGTTAATGTAAAATGTTTTCTGATGGTCACAATCATCTAGCAGTGTAAAAAATGGTTTGGGACGGTGTTACCATAGATGGTAGTATATTGCACAGTTCTTGTTAGGTGACTGATTGAGGGCTAGGGCATGGGGAAAATCGAACAAGGTCAAATATGAAGTTGTAGAAGGGCTCTATCTCCAGGATCTTCAACGATTTATTCAGAAGAAAATGCCAAGGCAAAAAAAAGCCTTTGCTTAAGTCTTAAATGTCCAGTTTCTCAGACTTACGTGCAGCGATGTTGACACATAGCTTGATAATTTCTTTTAATTGTTCTAATCTTTTTTTTTTCTTTTATTTATTTTAGTACTTTTACTGTTTATCGAGAACATTAGTATTGCACGTGTCTTGATGATCCTTGACAGTTGACACTGCATTTAGGAATAAGAGTTGTATTTGGCTTTGTTTGGGACGACTTTTTTACTGCTTCTTGAAGCGACTTTTTAATTAAAAAATTAAAATTTTTTACAAAAAATCTGCTTCAAGAAGCAGTTAAAAAACCGTCCCAAACGAAGCCTTTATATCACTCACTCAATCCCTCTGCATCCTCCTCTTCGATATCAAGTACATCTGTTCCTCCAAGTCCCTTCCAGGTTTCTTTACTGCTGCCACCACTGATGGTTAAAAATTAAAATTGAGTGCAGCCATTGACCTGCTGCAGGAACAGCAACTTACAGCAGCCTTTCTTCCTATGTTTCCAAAATCTTCCTTTCCACCAACTCCCAACATCGCTCTCATCTTCAGCTTTGTACATCGTTCTATCGAATAAAAGGTGAGATGAAATTTATTTCAGGAGGAAAATACATTGAAGAATATGTTGTTGCCGAATGGATCCATTGTCTGCTGTATAATAGCGAAAATTCTACTATTTATCTCTCTATATATATATATATATATATATATATATATATATATATCCCTCCTACACACACTCTTTCTGTTTCAAAAAGGCCTCACCTAAGCATCTCGGCAATGCCCATCTCCCTCATGCGAAATCTAACACTCACTACTTGCCTTCTACTCTTTATTGTCACTGACACACCACCTCCATCGCAATCCTATTTTTTCAATGATCTATAATTTAATATGTGAGATATTTCCTCCCATGTTGATCTTTGATGCAGATAAAAGGAGCGATTACTCTTTACCACTCTCCAAAGGGAAATTTGATGTCGTCAACATCTTCTTAAATGCTAGCGGGATAAGCAACAGAAATAAAAAAGAAACCCAAAAAAATAACTTTTTAAAATTTCGAAAGAATAAAGATAAACTATCGAAGAGCCAACAATCTTTGGTCTGAGTAAATTGAAGGCCCTGCATTAATGATCATTGGTATGGCTCAAGGTATCTCCTCCCTCTGTTGGTCTTTGCTCTGGATACATGAAGTGACTTCTTTCGCGTGAGCAATGTTGTCAGGTTCAAACTCAACAATATCTTTTGGGCTATCATAAAGGCATAACCAACACAACCACAGAGTGAATTTTATGTTTCTCGGGTTGCTTATGGTGAGCTCGGATATCAGAAACGAACAAAGCTTCATCAACACTGTTAAATCCCTCCAAGGAGAAGAAAATAAAGATATCACACGAACATATCTTTGACCCGCAAAACAAACATACATGATGATATGTTATGAAAAATTAACTTGAACGGGCGTGAATCTTAATGTATATTTGAATTAAAAAATTTCGAAAATAAATTCATGACCATCCAAACTTAGATAATGACAAACTTATAGCCCAATCGAACGTCTGGATGAGATGAACACATCAATGCCAAAAGTGATTTGATATGACTCCCAATGAACCCAATCAAGCACTGAAAAATATAATTAGAAATTTTGAGATATTAATTGGAGGATCAAACAATCTCCAAATCTAACATACTTATAATCAAATCGTGTATCTTGAAAAGACGAATCTAGCGAGTCCAAAATCTAGAAGAGGGCTTGAAGGAATAAAGGTTGTTTGACAGATTATTTTGAATTTTAACTATAGTTATGGGACATGCCATTCTCAAAATTTTATAATAGGCATACCCACTCTCTACATGAAAGGGGCTTGGAAATTGGCTTAAAACTCAAGCGAGCTGAGAGGATTGATGAATTTAAGAGCCCCACTCGACTAAAATTGCAAGACCATTGTCTGATTGTTATCGTTGAACCACTGATTGGCTACAGTCCTTCGACCACCGTCGCCCCTCTACAATGCTTTGATTATCGTGACCTGAATACGGTCCTCGAATCACTATTGTAGGACTACAATCCTCCAACAATGTCGTCCGACTATGATTTTCTAATCACCGTCGCTTAACTACAATGCTCCAACCACCGTCACTTAACTACGGTCCTCCAAATAACATCGTCCAACTATAGTCCTCCGACAACAGTTGCGCAACTATGGTCCTCTTACCACTGTTCCCTAACAAAGATCCTTCAACTATCATTGGTCAACTACAGACCTCTAAACATTGCTCATTGTTCCACCGACACCCACCGACTTCATCACATATTATCGCAAACAATGTCAATGTAAACCCCCAAAACGCCGTCCGTCTAAGACTTCGCACGCTTTTCAAAGCGCCGCGGCAAGTTTTAAGTGAAAATTTTGAAGTTGTCGGATTTCGACGGGAATAATTTTAGAAAATAGAGCGCAAAATTCTGATCAATTTGGTATATATAACTTGTATTCAATTTCGCTTAAATTAAGAGATAATTTTTAGAAGTTCAAAAATATCCAAACTACCCCTAATCATATTTAAGGACGGGATTGTTTAAGTGAGGGTAATGTGGTCTTTTGCATCTTCCCTTTTCCCTAAAAGAGCAAACCGCCCCTCCCCCTCTCATTTTTCTTTCGGCCAAACCGAGAGGGAGCGGACGGACCGAGCGGAGGAGGCGCGTAGACGGGCTTCTTCGGGCAGCTCCGGCGGCGATTTCCGGCGACCAAACTTGGGGAAATCATAGGGGAGACTAAGGGAAGACTAAGGTATGTGTTTTGCTTGAGTTTCCTCCCTCTTTCTTTGAGTTTTCCCTAAGAAATGAAAACTAGGGTTTAGAGAAAACTTGGATTTTCTTTGAGAAAAGTTTAGAGAATGATTAAAGGATGTTTCTAAACCTTAATGTGAGTTGATTTCTTGAAAATATGAATTTTTGGAAGTTAGGGTTTCACTCAAAAATGGTTTTCTTTCAAAGTACATTCACAAAGATGTTTCCTAATGATTCTTGTAAGATAATTATGGAATTTGATTTAAGCTTCATAAGAATAAATTGTGTTTTGTAAATTAGGGTTTTGTAGAAGTGAGAGTTTTCTTTGGGATAAGTTTAGAGAAAGGTAATGTGATGTTTTTAAAACCCTAATGTGAGTTACTTTTATAAAAATATGAATTTTTGAAATCTAGGGTTTATCCGATTTTGTTTTCCTATCAAAATGCGTTTGTAGAAAAGTTTCTATTTGAGATTAGGAACTTTTTTTTGTGTAGACGGATTTCTTTTTGGGAGATATTTTGCATGCCCTAATATTTAGGGTTTTCCAAAAGCTAGAGTTAGGATGAAATTCTAATTGTAGTGAAAATAATATGGAATTGGTATGGTTTAAGTGAGGGATTTTTATAGAAAAACCAAATTTGAGATGTTGAATAGTTACATGCTTAACCTAGGGTTTTTTTTTTGTATGAGAGAGAAAACTTATATCTACACCTTATGTTTGCCACTTGTAGAGTTTGATTTCATAAGAGGAAAAGGGGCGTGAGGACTTTTGAAGGATCGCCTTGTGGTGTACGAATTAAGGTAGGTGGAATGGAGGTTCTTATAAATTTAGCCAACCTTTCTTTCATTGCATCTACATAAAAATGGTAAATTCTTTCATGCTTATTATGATATTTTTTTTATGACTCTTGCTTCCTTGTAAAAGTTCATGGACACTCAAAGCAAAGGCAAAGGTTCTTTTTTTTATGCAAATGTACAATTCATGAATGAATCTTATGCTCATTTCTCTACTCTTACTATACATGTCTTTCCTCTTTACATGCAAAAGCACACATAAGCATATCAAGCATGCATGTCCCTAAGGAAACATACACTTGATTAGTTTATGAAAGATTTACTTAAAGCATCTCTTATGGTTATATATGTAATAAGTGTATGTGCATGTTGACGCGAGAGTATCACATGGTAAAGGAGACTCTTATGAGCCATGGTAAATTAAGCTCTTATGAGCCATGGTAAAGGATGGTTCCTATGAACCAATGGTAAAGGAAATGACCAAATTTTATGTACCTGATCAGTACAAGTGGTACTCCCGAGACGGATGCTATATTTACATATTAAACTATTAAGAACATTTCATATTCATGTTATGCATTTGAAACTATCATGTGAGGCAAAATGTTTAAGGCAAAATGGAAATGTTATGAAGGAAAAAGCACTTGAAAGTTGAGGTAAAGGTATGCATTTCCTCGAAGCAATGTTTCTTTATGTTAATGTTTCTTTTGTTAAAAATATCCAAGCATGATATAGTTATCTTCTTTGATTCTAAGTTTATTTGATTTCCATTCACACCTAAGTTTATGACTCACCCTCGTTGTGGGAACACTTTTCAGGAGGATCTAAGAAGGGATAGATGACAGACCAACCACCGCGTACTTACCGTCGTAGGGAGACGACGGGCGGCAGGTTCTTTTGAGTTTTGATTTTTGTATAGAAGGTTTAGAAATGATATGTAAGAAAATGATTATTGGATCCCCTTTTGTATTTTGTAAACTTAATGTTAAATTCATCTATTGGTGTTTTGGAATGAAAGAAAAGAAAAGTTTATGTTTGGAGATTTTGTAGTGGCTCTTTCTTTATGTTTGGTACTTTTTGGAGATATGTTTATTGTTTATTGTGAAGCTTCTTTTATTTTCATCCTGTCCGACCTCTGTTCCCGCCTCGCCTTCGCGAGCTAATCAGGCCGGGTCGTGACAGTCAAAGCATGCCATCCCCTGGAAGGACAATGTACATTGTCATGACCAAATTCTAACTCCTGACATGAACATCAAGATTTCTGCTGGCATTTTTAGTTTTCGATCTCCAATCCTCAAAGTACTACAAGAAAAAATTATCTTGAAGATAACTCCTATATAATAACCTGAACCGATTTCTATAATCTGAATTAGTCAACCTCACCCGAACCGAATCAACTGACTCCAACCTTCAAGCGAACAAGCCGTCCCCTTTTCCCAATCTCACAATTTCTGTGATTACACTCCTTCTCATGTGACTTCAACCATTTTTCCACAATCACCATTCAAAAAATCCTCCTCGTCATCTTCGTGGATGCAATTTAAGGAGAAAGGGGACCTAGGGCATCAGTCTTCTCTCTCCTCTTAATCCTTCTCTACCACAGTCGTCGAACCTCCCCTCACCTCATCGCTTCCCCCCTTCCCTATCGCAACTGTCAAACCCCTTCTTCCTCCTAAAACCCTATGTGACAACAACAAGCCAAATTTTCCATTTTTTTCTTCTCTTTTTCCAACTCTTCTTCTCATCATTATGGTAGGAATATGAAATCCACACGGAAAAATAACAATAACAAAAAGAAAACGTAGCAACAATCAACGAGAAATAATGAGATATCGGCAAAACAAATTAAGATACAAATTGATATACTTTTCGAGAGGTAGATGGACTCTCCACAACCTTTGAGCCCCCTTCTCTCCTTGCCCGCCACTCACTCTAGTGGGGCCCACAAGCTTAGTCATTTATGTTTACATGTAATACCTTTTCATTTGTCATGCAATTTACTCAAGGTTCAAATATTTAGGAACTTCAAATTAGTCTCTTTGGAGTCTGGGAGAACATAGGTTTGAGTGTCATAATTCAGGTAAGTAGTTGTTAGTTATTAAAAGATAAATTTATCATTTTTGTTAGGGGTGTTATCTTTCTTACTTGTGTTAGTCTCTTAAATATTTTAGGTTATTAGTCATAATTTTGATTATTATTTATTGTTATGCATATGTAGTAGATCTTTTTATTGTCCATAAAGAGGTTATCATATATAGAGCCAATGTTGCCATGATTTATTGTGCACGGACTCTTATCCATTGAATTTGATTTCTATCATAGAGGATTTAGTCTAACTTTAATTTTATTAAATTCAAAAAATGATATTCTTGAAAAATCATATTGGTTATAGAATTCACAATTCTTGTATTGACTTATACAATACATGTTGAAAATTTTTTATGAAAAATTTGAAAATTATATGCATGTATGCAATGGTATATAGGTCGGTACAACCTTTTGGATATTGGCCGGCTGGGCTGATGGACTCACAAAATGACAACTCAATAAAAAATCATTGACTTTTCTTGGATTAGTGTTTAGCTTCCCGGTGTATGGTATTTGACAAAATGGAATATATATATATATAAGCTAAAAAAGACGAATAACTAATAAGTCATATTGAGGTAAGATAATACCTAGTGTGACTTTAAGCGGATACATTTGAATAAAATTGCATTAGTGACAGTTTGTCATACACATTCATAATATCATCATACTAGAATCTATTGTAGGAATGTATTTTTACATTGATATATTGATTACCTGCTATTATATAGCCACTCTTATCTTTTTTTATAATTTATGTTGCATACCCAATCTTCATGTTGTTTCTGCTTTAATAGATATGAGTTATTTGCTATGTCTCAAACTCACTTGTTAATTTTTCTCATGGAAGATCTTACCAAAGTGCTAAGTGGACTATTGTCACTAGAGCAGCAGCAGTAGGATATATTTTGTATTTTATATTTTTTTGGTAAAGTCATTTTGAGGGTTAGGTAGTTTTATTTCAATAGTTGCTTCTTTTAGTACTTTTTTTTCTTGTGTTGTTGTTCCCACATTATTGATGTAGTATATTACTAATCCATGGTAATGAAATGAAATTTATTTTTATTGCCATTGTTCACTCTCAAGTATTCTGTTCTTGTTGTTGTTTACCCTGATGTATTCTATTACATTACCTGTATATGAACTTTCTTCTTTTGAGTGCAAAATAGGTTTTACTTATCCCTTCATTAGATCTTGTGTTGTCAGGGTCGCATCCTTCCAAACTTGGAATGCGAAATCCCAAGCCACAAGGATTTTTCAAATTCCACCAGAAAATATATTATATACATTGCATATTTATTGCATTGTATCAACACATTTCCCAATATTTGGGAAATGCATCTTTTGAAACCTACAAACATTAATAGAATCATTTCAAATGGGTTAGGCCACGTAGATTTTTTAATCTATATTGTGCAAGATCTCTGATAGTGCAACGCTACCATTTTGCAAAAAAGAGGTGCAAAGTGTTTCCACGATTTTCTGGGCTTTTAATTTTCTTTGTTTTAATCTATTTTCATACTTTTGTGTCTACATTGTTTTTGGTGATATAAGATGCAAACTGCTAATTAATTACTAGATCTGATTTGATTGATTAGAACATTAAAATTTATGACTTGGTTGTTTTCTCATGCTGTTTAGTTATGCAATATTCAATTTTTTTTTTTTTTGAACAATTTTTTACTTATTTATAATCTATTTATTTAATATTTTATTAATGCAAGGAGTTAATAATTTGCATTATATTCCAAATCTTCGTATTTATTATTATTTTTATTATTTAATTGAAAATTTTCTTCTTAAGGATATGCATCAGATCCACAGCTAAACATAAAAAAATTTCACTACAAAAAATATATTCCTAATATAAAGGATCCTCAGTATTCCTCAAAGCTTTCCTTCTCATGCATAACTATTTCTGCCTGATTGTGGAATAGAAGCTTACGAATATTACTGCTGTATTCGGGAAGATCTAGTACTTCGTCTTACGCCCAAGATTTGATCACAACAGCTTCGGTTTGATAAACAAAAACTATTGGCATAATGACAGGTACTAAAATATGGTGGAGCAGGTGTTCAAGAATTAATTCATCCTGCGGAGTTATTCAAGAAAAAATAGTTCCACAGCATAATAACAGTTTAAATCCATGCACTTAAGAACCTCATATGCACTGCATGTCTCTAACCTCAATATTTGTGTGCTTTCCTCCAATGCCATTAGAGCCATAATTTGTTGTATGTGCTGCAGGAGGATTCATGAAGCCAACTGCAGCAGCAGGTAAACAAGGAAAGTTCATGCCGGCAAGCTCAACTTCATTTTTTAAAGATATTTATCTAGACAATTTGCTTGAATAGACTAAAGAAGTTCAAAAAATTAGAATAAGACCATAGCTCACACGTAACAGCGAAGTAACCAGGGTTCTGTTCTGAAAAGTGCACATTTAATATAACATTAAAAAGAATGGGAATCAATTAAATTAGTCCACAGTGCATAACAAGACATCAAAATAACATTAAGTAAATGAAAAAGAAACAAAAGAAGAGAATTCTGTTAGACCGGTCCTCTATGGACCGGACCCGCCGACCCAATCCCTTGGGCCGGTCCGGTTTGTTTACAGCAGGAGGAGGACGGCGGGAGCAAGGAGAGAGGAAATGGTGGAGTCCACTTGATTTTCAAATGCAATCTTGGAGCCAAAAGGAGAGGAAGCAAGGGCAATTAGATCCTTTTGTATTAATTTTGAATTGTATGCATTAAGTAGAGAGAAAAGGCTAGGGTTAGGGTTATGTGCAATTTTCTAAAGAGTTCTCTTGTTTTCTCTTGTGGCTAGGTCTCTAGATTGCTTTCTAGAGAATTGGGAGAGTGGATCCTCCTCTCGAATAGAGGATCACTTGTATCTTTTCTATTTCTTTTGCATCTACCATCAATTATCACGTATTTGGAGTGATCTATCTCAATTTTTCTTGCCGATTTCTCTGTTTTTCTTCTATAACCTGCTGTATTACTGCTGAAAACAGCAGTTTTGGGTGTTGTTGTCCACTAATTTGGGTTAATCAAGTATTTCCTATCAAATTCATATACATGCATGGCATTTTTGGAAACAAGTTAAAAGAGAACCAAAGGATATTGATTTGAAACATAAGGTGGTAAAATAAGTGTGACATTTATAATTTCCAAAAATCATTCGGTTCCATGTCAATATTAATAGACAACCAATTGGAGAATAAAATATATGGTAAATAGTAAGCAAACAAATTAACAAGTAGAAGAATCTTTTTGGTGTAAAGAGGAAGGTCGCAGCTGTCCATTTGAATACAACTAGAGGTGTCAATTTTGGGTCATGGGTCGGGTTCTGCCGATTTCTCTGTTTTTCTTCTATAACCTGCTGTATTACTGCTGAAAACAGCAGTTTTGGGTGCTGTTGTCCACTAATTTGGGCTAATCAAGTATTTCCTATCAAATTCATATACATGCATGGCGTTTTTGGAAACAAGTTAAAAGAGAACAAAAGGATATTGATTTGAAAGATAAGGTGGTAAAATAAGTGTGACATTTATAATTTCCAAAAATCATTCGGTTCCATGTCAATATTAATAGACAACCAATTGGAGAATAAAATATATGGTAAATAGTAAGCAAACAAATTAACAAGTAGAAGAATCTTTTTGGTGCAAAGAGGAAGGTTGCAGCTGTCCATTTGAATACAACTAGAGGTGTCAATTTTGGGTCATGGGTCGGGTTCGGGTTCGACCTGAACCCGGCACTATTCGGATTCAGGTTGACCCGACCCGTTTTTGCAAACTGGTCGATTTTCTGGACCCAAACCCGACACGCTTCTGGTTCGGGTCAACCCGGCCCGACCCGCTTCGGTGCAAGCGATTTCGGGTTCGGGTCAACCCGACCCGACCCACGGACACGACATTGCCTTCGGGAATCGGGACTACTCGGGAGTCTCGCCGTCTCGGACTGACGGACTCTCGGGACGCTGCGCGTGACGCGCCTGCGCGGAAGCGGCGGACGGAACTGGCTTGGCCAGTTCGGCCTTGGGCGGGGCCGCAAGAAGCGGAACTGACGCCGGCAACTGACGCGGGACACGGAACTGACGCCGAACGTGATGCGACACTGGCCTCGGGACGCAATGCGACGCGGTCGGGCAGCCAGGGCAGGCGGGGTAGGGTCATTCGGGCGGACTGGTTTATGTGTCATTCCGGGTCATTCCCGGGTTCCCGAGTCAACCTGAACCCAACACGATTTTTCAAATGGGTCGGTTTATCGGACACGAACCCGACCCGCTTCGGGTTCGTGTCAACCCAAACCCAAAATTTTCGGGTCGAGTTCGGGTCGGATTTTCGGGTTGGGTCCAATATTGACAGCTCTAAATACAACAACAACATCAAGCCCTTATCCCACTGTGGGGTAAAGGTCAGTTGCATGAATCTTTTTTCTCCTTTGTTGCAGTTTGAATGATCACATAAAATTTGACAGCCACGAGTAGTTGTTCATAGAACCAGTCCAAGTGAAAGTATAAAAGCGTGAGGCAATCTAGACTTGAGAATGGAAACATAGTTTTAATATTAAAAGGTAATAAGATAAAAAACAAGACAGCGATGCCAATCATGGTTGTGAATTTTGAAAAGAAAGTCACTAAAATTGCATCTCAAATTTAATAACAACAGGTAAAAGAAAGTCAAGTCTACTAGGCCAATCATGTTTTTAAAATTTGAAAAGAAAATCACTAAAATTGCATCTCAAATGTAATAAAAATAGGTAAAAGCATGTCAAGTAGACTACGCTAATCATAGTTTTAAAATTTGAAAGGAAACTCACTAAATGTCATATCAAATTTAATAAAAATAGGTACAGGTAGATCTTGTCCTTGTCAAGTCATCTAAAGTATAGTAAATACTACTGCTATTTCCTGTGGCATTTTATTCTTTCATAATCGGCATGGTTAATCCCTAACCCTAAAGAGAAATATTAAAGGTTGAAGTTAGTAATAACAGCCAATTGTAAAACTTATTCAAACTAATGAAATGAATTCAAATTTAAATTTTGCTAATGCTAGTGTTCCAGGGAACGTAACTACCTATATTTTGGCATACATTGAACAATGTAATGAAGCGCAACATAGATTGATTCAAGAAAATAAAGTGGAGTTAGCTCTGAATATGGATAAATGTAAAGCTTTAGGTCCATAAAAGATAAACACTACTTGGAGAGTTGTAGAGGATATTATAGTGGTTTGCTTAACAATTATTTTCAATATAATTTTAAAGACTAAGAGTATGTCTAACAAGAGAAGAATCATTTAGTGGTAATATCTAAAAATAGAGATGATAATTAAGATTTCACAGACCATCGAGGATTCAAACATCTAGTATGGAAAAAAATAATAATATAACGTTATCTTAGAAAAATTAAAGTAGAAATGGAGAACCAATTTGGTTTCATGCCAAATAGTTCTACTATGGAAATGATTTTGTTATGTGTGGAATTTGATTGTGTTGATCAATCCGTTTGTTCAGTTGCCGCAAACCTCAAGTTTCGTCGTGCTCAATGGGGGTCTGGGTGCAAACTACAACGCCCGGTGATGCGTACCCGAGCCCCCCCCGACGTTGTCGATGATCATTCAATTTTTTTCAATACAATGCCTCAACGCTGGGTACTTGAGCGCCCCAGGGCTGAACGGCAGAGAATAGAGCGTCGCAACAACATAGATATGGCGCCACAGTGGTCAAGACAGAGACTGAGCAATGCAACATTGTCAAACAAAGACTGGGCGCCGCAGCGCCCCAAACTGGCTCCGCAGTGATGCAAGACGGACTTAACAATTATTTTTCTCAAGGCTTGCGTCCTTTGGGGGTTATAACTTGTCTTTCTCTTGTATTTTCAGTTAGGGCAAGTGTGAAAACATTACATGTGAGAAGCGAGATCGGTACTTATTTCTCCTAATTTTCATAGTGGATTTCTTGGTGTGGTGTGGCTCCATGGTTTTTCCCTATTTTGATTTTTTCTTCATTAAATCTCAGTGTTCTTTATTTTCCGCTGCTTTCACTTTCTTGCTTGCTTTGTCATTGTGGTATTTACTCCTTTCTCATCCCCAACACAGAGAGTTGGTCACTACATTATCTGCAAGTAATATCGTTGATATTAATCTACTTATTTTTGAAACACATCATCTATCTCCACTTTATGAAAACATCAAATATCATGATTCTAAGCAACCTTATAATGAGCATCATGAATATTGATACTCAGGTGGATAGGATGTTTCAAATCATATTTGACAGATTGGAAAGATTACGAAAAAAAACTTAATTGTAACTCTCATATATTCACAAGACTTCAAACAAGACATTCCAATTGAGTGTTTTCTTGGTAGTTTTCATGATCCAAATGATTCTCATAGACGAGCCATCATGATTCATTTAGCTTGTTTTTATGTATTTTTCCTTTTTAATGGTAATTTTCCATGATACCCTTTTCATACTAATATCATTTTCAAGTTATGATATTGTCAAAGAAACATGTTTTAATCATAATATATGGCAGATATTTGATACAAAATGAATAAGAATTTACCCATCTGAGAGGTTTTGAACCATTAAGATAGGTCATTAATTTCCATTTTCATGATTTATGCAATGCTATGGCTCTCAACCATATTTTTCTTTAACATTTTAATCAGAAGTTGTTAGACTGGTCCAGCCGGTCCAGGCAGGACCAGCTAACAGGCAAAACAGTGAAGCTGTTCTGCCTCCTGCAGATGCCGCGCGAGCCGCAAGCGTTGCGGGAGCCGAATAAGAAAGTTTTTTGGGGGAATTAAGAAGTAAATTTGAATGCAGGGACTGTTTAGGGATTTCCTTTTGATTTGTATGTATTAAATACTTTGTTTTCCTAGGGTTATGGCATCTTGAATTTGGCTGAAATTTTAGATCTCTTAGATTTAGGTTTTCTTTGGGCTCTAGCGGCGTCTAGAGATTTGGGAGAGATCGATCCTCCTCTCGAATAGAGGATCAATTGTACCCTGTTATTTTCAGTTTCCATTTTATCAAATAATACAAATTATCTACTGTTTTTTGTGGTTTTGTGTGGATTTTGATAGAGAAAGCTCGCTGTTTTTCGAAATTTGATAGGAAATACTTGATATCTACAAGTACTTCCAATCAGAAGCACTACAAAGCACAAATAAGTTGATGAAGAGCATATAAAAAACCACGTGTTTGAAAGCTTGAAAAAGCTATATATATGGGAATAAAAAAATTACATGGACAACAAAAAGAATTCTGTTCAAATAAAATATCTCATGTGGTAAAAGTTCAACAAGTAGGGTCATTGAAGCCTCACCGCCATATGAAAATGGTAAATTCATAGATTGTTTGTAATGAGCATCTTCTGCTACCTTTGACATTAATAGGGTGATTGCCCGCATAAGTTCCTCCAAAGAACCAGTCACAGTAACTAGCCTATCATTGAATCCACCATATTTCCTTCCCAGAGGAGAAATCTTGATGTCAGCTTGGGATTCTTCAATAAGCGATCTGCTAAGTATAATGCAGCAGTAAGAAAAATAATAATAATTAAAAGCATTCACATTAAGAAATAAAATTAAATGGAAAAAAAAATCAGCAACAATTATACTCCAAGGAAACGGTGTTGTATCCAGTTGGTGAATGCAGAACCTATACATTTATCATCACGGTGGTGCTGCTCAATATGGGAAATAAAAAGTGATCCCATTCATTACGAAGAGGCTTCAAGAACTTTATTTTGCAATGATGCTCAGGGATAATGGAAATCATCAATTGATACGGCAGCAGTCCGACGACCGGGTGGAAGTCCGACTGCGGTCGGCAGCCGGACGGTGGTCTGAAAACGGTCGACGGAGGTTCGCCGGCAGTTGTGCTAGAACTCTTGAAGCCTCAAGGCTCTCTCCAATCTCCAACCAAAAGGTCCTCTTCATATAGAGAGTGGGGGTCTATTTATAGATTTTCGTGAGTGGCACACTCCGTAACTATAGAAAAGATCTTAGGCGGGTTTGGAGTGCTCCATTAGATGGGCCATATTTATTCCCCCGATCATAGAGCATTTTTCAATTGTTTAAATGCCTTAATGATGTCGGAATTCAATGATCTTAGGCTCATGAGTTCATCTCGCCGAGCTACTCAAATCAACAATAAGCATGTTATATTTGGATATCATTTAGTCATCCAATTTAGGCTTTGAACCTTTCAAATAAGCTTCGGGCCCCCGATTTAGACCCATTTGGGCTCAGATTGGACCAATTTTGTTGTTGTTGGGTTCGTCTGTTCAAAACATTCAGTTTGACTATAAGTTTACCAGAATCAGAGTTTGGATGGTCCCAAATTTAATTTTAGAAGTTTACAACTTTTATAAACTCGAGAATTGTGTCCGATCAAGACGATTTTTGGGCGGCGTCGGACCACCGCCTGTCGGACTACCACCTGATCGTCAACTGCCATCGGACTTCGGCCCGACCATCACTGGATCACCGCCTGGCCGCCGAACGCAATTGGAATACCTCCTGTATGCCGATCGCGGCTAAACTTCCACCCAACTGCGAACCACCGTCAGACTTTCGCTTGACCATCATAGGACTAGCACCCGGCCACCAACCTCCGTCACCTGTCGACTACAATCCCTCAGACCATCGTCGCCCACCGACTAAGATCCTTCCGACCACCGTCGACCGCCGTCTACGGTCCCTCGAATCACTGTCTCCCACCGACTACAACCCCTCTGACTACCGTTGCCCTTTAACTAAGGTCCCTCTGACCTCCATCGAACGCCGACTATGGTCCCTCTGATCATTATCTCTCACAAACTATGGTCCCTCTGATCTCCGTCGCACGCCGACTATGGTTCCTCCGACCACTGTCGGCCACCAACTACCATCCCTCTATCGCCCGTCGATTACGGTTCTTCTACTTCCTTCACCTGCTGAATATGGTCCCTCTGACCTCCGTCGCCCGCCAACTACGGTCCCTCTGACCTCCGTCGCCTGCCAACTATAGTCCCTCCGGTCACTGTCGCCTGCCGACTACAATTCCTCTGACCTCAGTCGCCCACCCACTACGGTCCCTCCGACAATCATTGTCCACCATGGTCCCTCCGACCATCATCGCCCACTGACTACGGTCCCTCTGACCTCCGTTGCTCGCCGACTATAGTCCCTCTGACCTTCGTTGCTCGCCGACTACAGTCCCTCCAACCATCGTCGCCACTATCACCCGCTAACTTCGGTCCCTCAGACCTCCATTGTAATATCAAAAATCTGCTCCAGGATCGTCCTGGGACGATCAGTTGAGAATTTGCTCCAGAAATTGCCCAGATTTGCTCCAGGTGTTTTACTGTAAGCATCGTCCAGGCCGATCGAGGCATCGGCCAGGCCGATTGGCACTGTTCAAAATATCGACCGGAAAATAGTTCTGGGAACCGTCCAGGATGATCAAATTTGGTCTGATCGTCCTGGGACGATCTGGCGATCGGCCGGGCCGATCTGAGTTTTATAAAGCTGAAATCAGCTCATTTTGAAGAGAGAGAAAATTTATAAAAAACGAAAATATCTTTTGAGGAGAGAGAAAGTCGAGGAATCTCTTGGAAAAGTTGATTTTCGGACGACGTGGAGCTGTTTTCGTCCGACGAGACTGTTTAAGAAATTGTTGTACGCAAGGTAAGGCACATTCCGCCTTTCTCAATTTTCAGAACCGTTGTGTTTGGTGGTATTTTATGTCCGGATTTTGTTTCCGTTAGTGATTTTCGTCCGTATCTTTCGATTGGTTCAGTTTTTACCGCGTAACTTTCTGTATATTGTTGACGTGCCGAGTGTGCACATTTTGGTTATTTTCTGAAGATTTTTGTCCGGGTATTTTTGATTCGACGATGTTTTTAGTCGACTGGATTTTTCTCTATGGTCCCTCTGACCTCCTTCACCCGCCAACTACGCACCCTCTGATCACTATATCCCACTGACTATGATCTCTCTGACCTTTGTCGCCCGTCGACTATGGTTCCTCTGACCACTGTGGCCCACCAACTATGGTCCCTCTGACCTTCATCGCCCATCGACTACGATCCCTCTACTTCTGTTGCCCGCCGACTACGATTCCTCTGACCTCCGTCACCTGCTGACTACAGTCCCTCTGACCTCTGTTGCCAGTCAACTACGTTCCCTCCAACCTCCATCGCCCACCAACTACGGTCCCTCCGACCTCCGTCTCCCACCGACTATGTTTCGATTTCTCTAATCATCATCACCCACCGACTAAGGTTCCTCCAACCTCCTTTGCATGCCGACTACAGTTCCTACGACCTCCGTCGCCCAATGACTATGGTCCCTGCGACCTCTGTCACCCATCGAACATGGTTCCTCCAACCACCGTATCCCGCCGGCTATGGCCCCTCTAGTCACCATCTCCCGCCAGTTATGGCCCCTCCGATCAACGTCTCCCGTCGACTACAGTCCCTCCAACCTCCATCACTTGCTGAATATGATTCATCCGACCACCGTCGCCATCCAACTACGGTCCTTCTAGCCTTCTTCATCCGCCGACTAAAGTCCCTCAGACCTTTGTCTCTTACCGTCTACAGTCCCTCTGACCTCAGTGGCCCGTCGACTACGGTCCCTTCGAAAATGTATCCTCGAGAAGATAAACAATTGAACGATTGGAAATAAGATTAGAATTAGAAACAACAAGGGGTTAGGACACAGCTTGTGACAAAAGGGCTTGCATTCCAAGGACGGAAATTGATAAGATAGTAAAAGAAAAGCATAACCGTTTTGAAGGAAATGAACTTAAAAAAGCACACGTAATTTTAAGCATATATCACTAGGAACTAGTATAAAATAGAATGTAACAGATGAAATTTCTTTTCAGAAATGAGGACTGACACATTTAAGGGGCCATTCATGAGCATAATAATAACTAGAATGGAAATGGTAAAATCAGATAGAGTATAATCTTGCAATGAGAAATAGGTTGTTAATTCTTTGCAAGTAAATATAACAGAGAAACAAAGTTTTACTTACAAAATTACAATTGAAAAATAGAATGAAGAAGTTGCCAGATGCACTCAGAATGGGTAAAAAATAGCAGAGAAAAATTACAGTAACACCTTAAGATATCATAGACAGAATTATACTTTATAGTAGATCCGCCTTTTCCAATAATAGCACCACATGCGCTGTTTGGAACAATAAACCTTACTTTTGTCCGATTATCAACATCATGATTTTCTTCAGCCTGTGCAGTAGAAGTGAACAAGCTTCAAAGGAAGTTTAAATTATGGCATAGCATGAAGAAAAAGAAAAAAAAAAGCAAAGGATATACAACAAACCTCATTCAACAATTTCTCAAGAATTAATTTAGTTGCTTTAGTTATTTCATTAAGTTCTCCTGAGATCCTGATTATCCTGTCACAAGTTCCAGGGAAGAATTCATGGCTTTTTGACAACTGAATACACGCCCCAGATTGTGACTGAAACTCAGTAATTGTTGATCCGCCCTTTCCAATGATTGACCCAGCTGCAGTATTTGACAGAAGGAACCTTATGTGTGTGTGTTTCTCCTTGTCATCTGGAGAGATCGGGTGATGAGATTCAAAGCAAACTTAAACTTGAAAAAATTGCAAATAGACATGTAATGCAACTTTTTCTTGAACATGCATGGACACCAAGGACAAAGGATGTACTTATACTTAGATGAAATTCCTTGGTGTATACTCTACTGAAAACTAGTTCCTTTTTATAATACAAATTTATTGCTATTAATAATTATTCATTATGATAATAGTAACCTACTTAATGCAAAACATGAAGAATAAATTCAAGTTTTGATCAATTCATAAATCCAGTTTTTTTTTTTTTTTTTTGGTATCGGATGTAATGAAAATAAACAATTTTCCGCAACATAAATTGGGTATTTATACACCAAGAAGGAACAGAACAATTATAACGGTAAAACAAGAATAAAAATATTTGATGGGAAAAAAAAAAAGCAATGCAGTCTTGATTAACTCACCATGCAGAATATAGAATAACGTTCTAAACCATTATATAAGGTATTTTTATGAGAAATTTTCACCCAAGCTAGAGAATATGCTGTAATAGGACATGTAAACTCATACACAACTTGAAACCTAAATGAGTTTGGTTTTGCTTGTAATCAGATATTTAGCTAATTGAACAAGCCCGATTACAATTATAAATATTGCAATTTGTGAATATCAACATATAAAAAACAAGCTAAAACAGAGGTTTACTTGTTAATGTATGTTCATCACCATACTTAATTGTTGTTTAACAAGTAAATAAACAAGAAATCAATGATTTTCCTCTTATACTTGGTTTGACGGCTCAGTTCTAAAGTATTTTCTACTAATTAATACAAAGTTCTTATGCAAAGGTTTTTTCATCCTCCGTACTCAATCGATGGCGTTTTAGTACATTAATAAAATGTATGCGGTTTATACCCAAATTATGTTTGTTCATTCGAGTTCATAATTTTTTAACTTGAAAAAAGGGCATACCGATTCAAAAGCCTCACTTCACTACAGTGCCTAGGGAGGGTTTGTCCTTGGCCTTAAATAAGCCAAGCTTTACAAATGTGAAACTTACATTAAATGATAAGGTTATTTTTCTGTATAAAACTCGCCCAGGAAAATCTTAAGAATCTCAAAAAAGCTTTAGCTCAAATTCAGTTCTAAATAAAATAAAACCCAAAAAAAGGAGCTTGAACAAAATTTAAAAGGCATTATGTTGTAGTGCAGCTCAAGCTAGACTAACCACATAAAGCTTGCGCAAAACTAAAATTAGCTCAAGACGACTACACCCTTAGCAGAGGCCGGCATTTGTACCCTAACACAGAATTCTGTAAAATGCCATCCTTTCCGAAATTAAAATGTCCCATGAAACACAGAGGCATACAATTTCACCGATACATTTAAGCGACAACGATCAGCGAAAGAACTGTTCTTTCCCCCGCACAAATAAAGTCTTCAATAAGCAATACAGAGGACAACGAGCAATAACAAACAACGAAACTAGTACCCCGCCAATGCCCAACCCGCCATCCCAAGTTTCCACCATTGATCCAAAAAGAATTTGCTATTAATCTCGGCTTCACATCCGCAACACGAAGATCCGACGCAAACTTTCTAAACGAGTAGGAAGGAACAGAATGAGAGGAACTCACCTGCATCGGGGGATCTAGGGCGACGCGAAGCCTTCGTGTCGGCTTCAGGGAGAGGAGGAGGAGAATAGGACAAGTCGGTGGAATTCATGGCACCGCAAAAAGCTCAGAGCAGAGAGACAATTTCAAGGAGAACTCTGACTTCCAACTTTATATAGTTGAGAAATGGCGGTCGCATCTAATCAACTGTCGACCGGTCGGTGGAATCCTGCGCCTGGTTGTGCTCGGAAATTTTCTTTTTCTTAAGGTCAACCAAAAAGTTAAAAAAGTATTTTCCTTCAAAGTGAATCAAATTTATTAGTGATATTCACATGCTTGAATATATTTTTTTATATTTTTACTATCTAAATTTTATTTTTATTTATATAATACTTTAATATAGATATATATATATTTATTTATTTATTTATTTATTTCATTTTAAAAAGAACCATCTCATTTATTAAATATTATTCTTACAACATTTGTAAATTTTTGTATATATTATATTAATTTTTTTATTTTTTATAATGTATATTATAAGAATCTCATTTAATTAAATATAAATGTTAATTATAATTAAATTATTAGATATTCATAAATCTAATATAATTAAATTATATGTCTTATAATTTAATTAAGTATATAATTATATTCATCATTTCAATTTAATTTAACCATTTAATAATTTAATTATATTGAGAGATAATATACTAAAATTACGAAGTTTAAATTCTTAGAATTATGAGGTTTAAAGTTAAACTGTCATAATTATTATGTTAATTTTATTAATTTTTAATAATATTATTACTTATTAGTTATTACATCATCCGTTCAACCCCAGTTCAAACCGGTGAACCATGAAGCTCTCCCTCCAATTTGTTGTTAAGTTTGATTTTCATAACCTTGATCTTTAGAGTTAATTGAACTTCATGATGACCCTATTATATGCTAAGAATGGCCAAAAATAAGGACTATGAACCCACATTCAAAATGACAAAATTTTTTAAAGATAACATTTGCTCAAATCAGCGAAGATAATTCATGAGCATTAGTGAAAGCCCTCGCTACACTTTGGCAAGATAATTGAGGAGTTATTCGACTCACGAGAGAAATATATACATGTTTTTCCATCTAAGTATAGTTTTTTTTTTTCGCTAAGTATAGTTCAATCATAACAACATACATCATATAGGAGGAGTTGTTCGACTCATCTAATGTGACATGACTATGGTGGAGTATAAGTTTCGATGTAACATGAATACCTCACTATAATGTGATGGAGAAGTATATTAGAATTTATTATAAAATGATATGGCATTATAGTATTTGTGTAAGTATTACTTCATCACAAGTACTTTAAATTCTTGCTAACCCTTCAAAAAATAATGAAGTGATTGATTATAGATATGAATTTAGAGAGTTTGACATATAAAATTATCATGCAAGTTACAAATTCGAAAACAATACGGAGATTCTAATAAAAGTGATTGAGCTAGAAAATGATCTAATCATAAAAGAGCTAATGCATCAAGAATTAAGGAGAGATTATTTTGTGCAGAGATCGGACGTAAAACATTATCCAAAGACCAACAAGAGTTTGCCACGTCAGCAGTACCGACGAGCGGTGATGAGCAGTACTGAGCTACGATACCGAACAAGGAGTGACGTGGCAGATTCTGATTGATTTCCGAACGACATTCAACATCCACACTGAATAATTAATCGGAATTAAGATGTAAAATTTGGAAGAAGGCCTTCATGAACAAGCCTTCATCATAAAGTTCCATCTTTCTTCTTTGAAAATCCTTCTCTAAAAACCTATACTCACTCACCCAAAAAGTCTTCTACATGAGAGCAAAATAACACAAATTAAAACCTCCCAAGTAGCAAAAAATCTCTATTTTTCCCTCAAAATAACATAGCATCTACAAGGAGATGAAATCATAATATATAGATTGATACATGAGGCTAGGTTTGAACAAGCATAAGAAAGAGGGGAGGTATGATTTTGAAAGTTTTTAGTGAGTTAAGCAAAAATTTAAAAAAAAAAAAATCAAGAAAAATAATAATAATGATAATGCGAGTCCAACACAAGTATTTTTAAAATTTTATTATGGTATCTTCAAAATAATTATAAATATCCATTTTTCCCAAAAATACTTAAAAGATAAATAAACAAAATACCAAGTTAAATTAAACTATTAAATATCACTTGCCAGAGTTTAAGGAAATCTAATAAAAAAAAAACTAGTGCATCCTAACAAATTACATCCGTGGCCCGTGGGGGTTTTTAAAAAGCTGTCCTTCCTGAAAGATCTGATCCAACAAAAGTCGCATTGTATAGTTCGTAGCACACAGCTCACTTTGACCTGTTGGTTGAGAACTTATGCTTTCAACTAAGAGGTCTGAGATTCGAGCCTTTGTGTATGCATTTTGTGTGTGAGTTAAGCTAATAAATTAACAGTGCAAGCTTAGTTAAGCTCTGTTAACTCTGCATGATCAGGTTATATCCCCAACAAAGCAAGGAAAAATTTTCAGCTTCATTCTTATTATTTTTTACAAATTTTAATTTATTTTTAAGTAGCAAAAAAATAATGATCAAAAAATATCTCAAACGATGCCAATCTCAAGAAAAAAAAAATCAGCCCGCTTTTAAATTAATTATCCATATTACATTCATCTTAAAATAAATTTAATGTTATTAATTTTATCCTAATTAAATTTTAATCCAAATATCCTAATCTAATATTTTCCCTCTTATGAAAAATTATTTTCTGCAAACACCGAACACCATTCAGAGACCAATAAAAACGAATTACTTCACCCTTTTATTGTACCGCAGCTCGGTACCGCTCGATACCCCGACATAGAGTTACATACAACATCCGCACAAAATAATTTCTCCTCTCACACATACGCAGAGAAGGCCAAAAGCAACCCTTTATTGCCCACAACAAGCTGCACGGTTAAAACAGTAAACATGAAAGAGGATTCAGACGCAAAAGTCTTATTACGGACAACTAAAATCACTCCCAATAGAATTTGCTTATAAACAAATGGATTATAATAAAGAATGAAAAATAATGATCTCCAAAGTCACAAAAGCACCGTACAAAAAAAAATTTCTACAAACCACCTCTGCTGCAAAAATTAGCACTCTTGCTCCTATATCACAGAAAATTATTAGGTCCGGACACCAGACGTACAGATACGTACGGCGTCCAATGAAATGAAATAATGACATGTGGAATATACACGTGTCTGCAAAATTTTAAGTCAAGTGCGTCAAAAGCACAGTAAAAAAGCGCAGTCAAAAAGTATAATCAAAGCGCAGTCCACATGGCAAATTTTAATTGGATATCCGGACCTAATAATTTTCCCTATATCACCCCCCTTCAAACTGGCCATAGTTCCCTCTTTTTCTTTTGTACTATAGGTAATGGGTTACAACGGTATTCCTATTCTATACAGATCAATCCTTCTATTTACAGATCGAAAGCTGGCAACTTAAAACTTTTAAGAAAAAAAAATAAAAATAAAAATAAAAAAGAATATTTCGATCAGTTTTTTGTGATATCAGGAAGAATCAGGAAGGCTGCATACTATTGGTTCACTATCAGCTGGCAAAGGAAGTTCTTGAGGGCCAAGTAACAGCTTGTGAAGCATTGATGTTCCCTGAAACATAATAGGCCGAGTTCCTTTTGCGTATTCTCGCAACTGTGTACATAGAAGAAAAGAGGAAGAAGAAAAGTTATTATTAAATTTGGAAAAATTGAACTGGAAAATTTGTGTTAAACAAACTGGGAATCATCACCTGGGTTGGCGTTAATTTAGAGAAGCCGAACTTATTTGTCCACATGGATTCAGCATCATTAGCAGCAGGAAGCACAAAGTGCTTCACTTTTAAGGATTTGAACATACTCTCAATGCATGAAAAGAGAGACTGGAAGTAACCCTGAGAACAAATTAGCAAAAAGCAGTAGGTGTTAAATGAGAAGAAATGGGAAATGAAGACAAGTAGATTTTATGCATCTTATCATATATAATGTCAGTTGTAAGCATGAAAGGAAACAAATTGTGGTTTGAACCTTCTAATAGCGCTTCGGATCCATGATTTGGATCCATTTGGGCTCGGATTGAGCCGTATTTGGCGTCGTTGGGTTTGTATTTTCGAGACGTTCAGTTTGGCTGTAAGTTCGCTGAAATCAGAGTTCGGATGGTCCCAATTTTTATTTCGGAAGTTTCCAACCTTATTTTGCCTCGAGATTCATGATAATTTTTTGATGATGTATCACTACTGATGTTAAATTATATTTTAAAGTTGATTAAGGTGGTGTTGGAAAACAGAAATCATTGTTTTCTAGAGGTTCCTGGCCCATACCCGACTTGATTGGCAATATCACTGAATATATTTTTGCACAAAATTTTGATAAGGAGTTCTGTAAGGTCAACGCCCTTCATTCTAAACCGAACCTAATAAACTAGTTCATGGATCAACCCTACTTATTTTCCTATTATTAAGAACACTTGCATCTCAAGAACATCACCACTTCATTGGCATATTTTCTTTTTAATTCTGATATTGGCATCCCACTAACAGTTCAAAGGAGGATTGAAATTTTGTACTTACAAATTACTTTTAGTTGAAGTTTTTCATCCAAATGTGGCCCCATGATTTTATTTTTTCTTTTCTAAATTTTCACATAGAAAAATGGTACTTTAAGCTAGTTGTGTTCTGGGACACTTCGTAGCTAACACAAATATATCACCACCTCACTTCTCGATCTGTGAGAATTATTCTGCCAAATAACCATCCAAGCATATTAGTTGCAACCTATACTATTTTTCCTCCTTAGCCTTAGGCTCTGTTTGGGACGGCATTTTTATTGCTTATTAAAACAAAATTTTAGTATGAAAATTAAAATTTTTGTACTATAAAACTGCTTTAAAAAGCAGTAAGAAAGCTGTCCCAAACGAAGCCTTACTCTCAGTTTTTTTACAGCATGGCTACGAGTTCTTTAAAATTAGGCATATTGTTTTCAAATTAACACATAACTAAAAAGGCCATTTACCCTACAGTCATCATCTGCCTCCCAAGTAAGGGATCTGTAGCTTTATGGTGCGCGATCAAGTTCAAGAAAATTATCAAACCTTTTGCCACTCATACTTTTCCGTCTGCACTCCTTCATTTTCTAATCAATTTTTTATTCATTTTAAAGTAGAAAACAACTTTGTATATTACTAGTACTATTATTTCAAAAAGGAGATTGTGCTAAGATATTTAAAGTACATAAACTTTACAGGATATTTAAGAGATCTAATCAACTAAATTAGCCAAGACATTCAAATGATATGCATGAAACTTAACAATCACTTTTAGATAGCCTTCTTCAAGAAACTTACAGGTTCAGTATTATCATGAATATACTATCTAAACAATATAGTTGAGGAAATAGATTTCAGAGACTGATGCACTACAGATGGATTTGGTTACACTAATATCAAACCTAGCTCAGATGGACTTGGCCACACCGACATATCTTCGCATTTTATATTTTTACAAGTTCCATATGTATTTCATTCTCATTAATATTTGCTATGTACGACGAAATATTGAATCATGTAATGTAATAACTTCTCTTCCTTTCCACTCTATATAAGAGGACCTAATTTATGATGGAAAGACATGTGAATATTGAATCAAATTTGCTTTTGCAAACCAAGGCTCCTCTTCTCCTCCGCTAGGAAGGCATCCGCTTCCCCTCTCTCCTCCAGAATACACATGAATGTTGACACAATTTTTTGAGTTGACTCGCCTTGGATCGAGTCGAATCGAACATGATTGGGTTCAAATGAACCCAATCAACTCAATTGAGTCTTGTTGAACCCAAATCAACTCCACTCGACTTAGATTCGAGTATAATTTCATAAAATTAACTCGATCAAATCAAATCAACCCCAAATCTACTCAAATCGATCCAGACCGGAGCTCAATTTGTGCTCAAATCAAGTAATTGCGATCAACGGTCACGCCCAGCACACAAACAGAATTAGAAATTTTCGTCTCAAATATTCGCAGCAATATAGTTAGAAATTTTCATCTCAGCATTGTACTGATATCCAGCACACAAACAAAAGAAAAAAGGAACACCGGAATTTTTACGTGGAAAACCCTGGAAGAGGGAAAAATCACGGGGTCACGCCAGTTGAAATGATTTCACTAGTGTTTGATTAGATTACAAGCGGCTGACTCGTTCTTGAACTTGAGGACGATCATAATACAACAATCAACTGTCAGGTTGAAATCTAGTTACAAACAGAGATCGAAAATTCGGCAACGTTTGGGGGTCGGGCGAAAATCCAGCTTCAATTGACGATAACAATCGGGAAGAAGTCCGGAGTAAGTCGGCGGTCATGCAAAAGTCCGGCGTCAGTCGGGGGTCATGAAAAAGTTCGGCGTCAGTTGGCGGTCCAGCATAAGACTGACGTCAATCGGTTGTCGGGCAGAAGTTCGATGTCAATCAGTGATTGGGCAGAAGTCCGACGTCAGTCGGTTGTTGGGCATAAGTTTGACATCAGTCAGTGGTCGGGGAGAAGTCCGGCGTCGGTCGGCTAATGGACAGAAGTCCGGCGTTAGTCGGCGATCGTGCAAAAATCCAATGTCTGTCGGCTGCCAGGTGGAATTCGGACAATAGTCGAGGAGTCTGGTGGCAAGAGAACTCACGTTTCTCTTCTTCCTTCTCTTCCATGCTTGGTCCCCCTTCCATGAGAAATGAGTGATCTATTTATAGTTTTTGAGAGTGTCATGACCAGTAAATAAGAGAAAGATAAAGTGTAAATTGAGAGTGGTTTGAATGGACGGCTGATGTTGAAACCCTTGATCGTGGACTGTTTATTGAGCATTTGAATGTCTTAATAATATTAGAATTCGACGATCTTGGGCTCGTTGGATTTGTCTCGTCAAGCCGCTCGATTTGAATATAAGCATGTTACGTTTGGAAATAGTTTGGTAATCCAAATTATGTTTTGAACCTTCCAAATGCGCTTCGGGTCTTTGAGTTGAATCTATTTGAGCTCGGATTGGGTTGAATTTGGTGTCGTTGGGTTGCTATTTCCAAGATGATCAGTTCGACTATAAGCTTGCTGAAATCAGAGTTCAGATGGTCCTGGATTTAATTTTTGAAGTTTTTAACTTGATTTTGCTTCGAGATTTGGGCCTGATTAAGATAATTTTTGATGATATATCAATAAAATAATTTCATAAAGAATTAAAGTTCGCTTGAATAGAAATTCATTTCCATTCTGAAAGAACAGAAATAGTCATCGTACAAAATCTTTAACAATAAGCCCATCAAAATTTTTGGACCGAGTATGTATTTTAAGTTGACCAGGGAGAAAGCTATCTTCATTGTTGATTTTTCACAAGAAATTTGTTATACTATCAAAAATTTTGCTCATGATCTAATTAGGAATGCAAAAGAAAGAGTAGGAAAAAAAAGTAGAGGATAACACAAAGTTAATCAAAAAATAACTATCCTTTAGAGAGAAATTAACTTTCCAGGAAGTTTGCTTTCTTAAAATTGTGTTAATATTACAAAGGTAATTTTGCATCGCTTTAGATCCTAGAGGAAGGCCTAAATTAGGGGTGTCAATTTTTGACACGACACGAAAACCCGACCCGGACCCGACCCGGACCCGCCAGGTTGGACCCGACCCGATTTCAAAACGGGTCGGGTTCGGGTTCCAGAAATCGACCGTTTCAAAAACGGGTCGGGTTCGGGTTGACCCGGCGGGTTGCCGGGTCGCTGAAATCAGAGTTCAGATGGTCCTAGATTTAATTTTTGAAGTTTCTAACTTGATTTTGCTTCGAGATTTGTGCCTGATCAAGATAATTTTTTATGATATATCAACAATATAATTTCATAAAGAATTAAAGTTCGCTTGAATAGAAATTCATTTCCATTTTGAAAGAACAGAAATAGTCATCGTACAAAGATCTTTAAAAATAAGCCCATCAAAATTTTTGGACCACAAATGTATTTTAAGTTGATCAGGGAGAAAGCTATCTTCATTGTTGATTTTTCACAAGAAATTTGTTATACTATCAAAAATTTTGTTGATGATCTAATCAGGAATAAAAAAGAAAGAGTAGGAAAAAAGCAGAGGCTAACACAAAGTTAATCAAAAAATAACTATCCTTTAGAGAGAAATTAACTTTCCAGGAAGTATGCTTTCTTTAAATTGTGTTAATATTACAAAGGTAATTTTGCATCGCTTTAGATCCTAGAGGAAGGCCTAAATATTTGAAGAAAAGTCTTTAACGAGAACAACCCAAAACACTGGCAACAGAATTGCCTTTATCATGGCATCCACCAAAGAAAAATCAATGATGATTTAGAGATAGGGGTGCAACCGAGTCAAGTCAACTCGCGAGCCAGCTCGGACTCAACTCGTTAACAGGCTCGACGAGTTGAGCTTATCGAGCTCGACCGCTAAACGAGCTCGAGTTCGAACACCCTGCTGCTCGACTCGTTAGCTCGTCAAGCAGCTCGTGTAATTGCGGCAGACAAACACAAACGACGCCATAGCCCCTCATCAGACATCTTCCTATCTCCTGCTCTTTCGCGACTCCATAGTTCATCTTTGTCGTCACTTGCTCTTTCGCGGTAGAAAAAAGTCGGAGAAACCGAGAGAACATCTTCGTCTTCTCTTCCTCCAGCGGCTACTTAATTCATTTCACGGGGTATGCTTTTAACCTGATGCCTTGAATTGTAATCCATATGTATGTTTTCTTTTTCTTGTATCTTCGTGAATGGCATCTAATAGCAGCTTGTTTTTTGAAAGATTGTTTAAGATATGAAATGCTTTAATGTTTTTTTTTTTTTTCCTGGTTGTGTGATAGGGATTTAAGTTCCAGTTTTTTAGCCACTCCGTGTTTTCCTGCTTTTCCCATCA